AATGCCAAAAAGCTCCAATTCTCAGTCATCTCATTTATTCCACTACTAACGCCCTCACCTAAGCAAAGCCCCCAAGCTACTCCCTTATCCTCACACCCTTCGGGTTTCTGTCATGACATATTTTTCCTTAGAGGTCACCCTTTTTGGCCCTTTCAAAGCTGATTTCACCCATGTTAATACCTCAGACATGTGAGAGAATGGCAACATGAGTCATAAATGATGATTTGCCTCAAAAGGGCAGCTCTGAGTTCATTACATCCCACAACAGATTTTGCCTTACTAAGAACCTTACTATGCTTTCCATGGTCTTTTTATCCCCCACCCAATTAAAAAAAAAAATGAGTACAGGATCTGAATAGACATTTCCCCAAAGAACATACAAAAATGGCCAATAACATAAAAAGATGCTCAACATCACTAACCATCAGGGAGATGAAAACCAAAACCACGATGAGATAACATGAGATACAGGAGGATGGCTATAATCAAAAGACAGTCATGTTGATAAAGATGTGGAGAAACAGAAACTCTCATACATTACTGGCAGAAATGTAAAAACTGCGCAGTCTGAAAAATCATAAGCAGAAGTTCAAACACAGAGTTACCGTATGACCCAGCAATTCTACTCCTTAGTATACACCCAAGAGAAATGAAAATGCATGTTCATGCTCATGTTCAAGAATGTTCACAGGTGCTTTATTCGTTCTAGCCAAAAATGGAAAGAAAAAATTGAATGTCCATCAACAGGATAATGGAGACATTGTGGCAAAAGCATATCATGAAATGTTGCACAGCAATAAAAATAAAGGAATAAATGATCTATGTGACAACATGGATGACTCTTACCAATGTTATGTTGAGCATAAGCCTGATTCAAAAGAATCTATATTATGTGATTCCAAATATTTGAATTTCAAGAGGAGGTAGAACTAATTGATAGTGAGAGAAGTCGGAAGAATAGTTATAGTTAGCTCAGCGTGGTGGTGGGAGGATTGATGTTGACAGGAGGTAGTTTAACACAACGAACCTTCCAGGGATTCTAGAAATGTTCTACTTTGATATAGATGGCAGTTCCACATATATATGTATATGTATATTACTTTGCATTAAAGCTGTGGTAAAATAAAAAAATATATATATATTGCATTAAGTTGTATCCTTAAGATTTTTGTACTATTTTAAACTACTCTCAACTATTTTAAATAAGGAAGAAAAACTACTCTATGTACAATATTGTACCAGACATCTTTATTTGTTTATTATTTATTTATTTTAGATTCTGCCACTTTTATTTATTTACTTATTTATTTACTTAAAACTTTTTAAAGTTTATTGGGATAACATTGGTTAATACAATTATATAATTTTCAGGTGTACATTATAGTTTGACATCTATATATTCTATTGTTTGATTACCACTCAAAGTCCAGTTTCCTTCAGCTACCATATATTTGATTCTCTTTACCCACTTCATTCTTCCTCTACCCCCCATATTGATCCCCTTTACCCCATATACCTCTCCCCTTCGCCCACACCCCCTACCCTCTGGTAACCACTAGTCTATATATAGTCCATGTCCCTAAGTCTCTGTTTGTCCTGTTCATTTGTTGTTTTTGGTTTATATCCCACATATAAATGATATCATGTCATTTTCAACTTTTTCAGTCTGGCTTATTTCGCTTAGCATGATTATCTCGAGGTCCATCCATGTTGTCGCAAACAGCAGTATTTCATTTCTTCTTATAGCTGAGTAATATTCCATTGCATATATGTGCCATAGTTTCTTTAGCCAATCATCTATTGTAGGACACTTCGGTTGCTTCCATGTCCTGGTCACCGTGAAAAATGCTGCTATGAACATCGGTGTGCAAATATCTTTTTGGATATGGATTTTCAAGTCTTTGGGATAAATACCCAGCAGTGGGATTGCTGGATCATATGTTAGATCAATTCTTAGTTTTTCGAGGAACCTCCATACTGTTTTCCATAGTGGCTGTACCAATTTGCAGTTCCGCCAGCCGTGTATGAGGGTTCCTTTTTCTCTGCATCCTCTCCAACATTATTACTTGTCCTGTTGATTGTAGCTATTCTAACAAGTGTGAGATGGTATCTCATTGTGGTTTTGATTTGCATTTCCCTAATAGCTAGCGATGTTGAGCATCTTTTCATATGTTTGTAGGCCATTTGTATGTCCTCTAGGGAGAAGTGTCTGTTCAGGTTCTCTGCCCATTTTTTGATTGGATTGTTTGTTTTTTTGTTGTTATTGAGTCATGTGAGTTGTACTAGACATCTTTAAGACGTTATATACATGTAAGTAGAGGAAGTAAGGATGAGAATGAAATGTACTCAAATTTTACAGTGAAGAGGTTAAGAGCTTGGGCTTTGGGGTCAGAATGGCACATCCAAATCTAGATTTTGTTACTTAATAGTAGCTCTATGACTTCTGAAAGTTCTTGTTTCTTTGTCAGTAAAATGCAGAAAATAATATACCTGAATTACAGGATTGATGTGATGACTAAAAGAGATAATACACATAAAATGCTTGGTACACAGTAAATACTAAGAAACTTTTTTATATTGGCCCCCCTGCCACATAACAATTACAGGTGATTTTATTTAATGTTTTATACTTTTCTCATGGTTGGTTTGTTTTTTCAGATGATGCGGAACTCTGAATTCAAACACACAGAATCTGGAAGTTATCCTGTAGGCAGCGCTGTCATTACAGATTGCTGACCAGGTCAGTGACGTAATAAGCAGCAGTCTTGGAAGGCTCTGCTGGCAGCAATGTGGACTTGTGGAGGAAGAGTAGATTCGACCAGGAATGGCAGGACGGCCTTGACGGAGAGGGCCTGCTGTCACCATCTTAAGCTTCACGATAGCCTGGTAAAATCTAGAACTGTCATTATCCCCATTCTTTTTTAAAAATTATTTTCTGTTTATTTCATTAAACTATATATGTACATGGAATTTCTTTCTTTTTTTTCCCAGATTCATTCATTTATTCTTTCATTCCACATGTAATCTTTTTAAAAATTGATGTATAACTGACATATAACATTATGTTAGTTTCAAGTATACAACATAATGATTTGATATTTGCATATATTGTGAAATGATCACTACAGTCAGTCTAGTTAAATCCCATGTTTTCTCATGTTTTTGAAATCTTTTACAACACACAGATGGTCATCAAGGCATTCACTGAGAGGGTGTGCTGCTCTATGCCATTCTATAAACCACGAATTTATGTAATTTATAAATCCCAAGGTTCTTAAACATTTCAGCACCAAATAAAATATTTTCGTCTTGAATTTAATAACGCGCAGTATGCAGTGTAGACACCTAACACCACCAATGCTCCTGCTTCTCCCCCTACCTCGCTAATCTCCTTAATGCTACTTTACAATAAATCTGAGAAAACCTAGCAATAAATCTTTAGCATTCAAATACTTTGGGATTAGTTTCAATTTTTCTCCAGGGCTCGAAAGGTCAAAGTTATTCAAGAGGTCTGTGGGATGGTGTGTGTATTTAACCCATATCCTAATCTCAAATGTGGTTAAGGACCCAGCTTCCAGAGTTCAACTAAAAATTAATAACAAGCGGAGGAAGAGACAAAATTGTGTCCATAATACTGCTAGGTAACAAATGAAATCTATAAAGGATCTTAGAAATAAAACCCAAAGTTCCAATTCCACCAGAGTCACAGAATGTAGAAACTGCAGTGCAATAAAAGTATCTAACAGATATACTGAAGGGTAAAAATGACATGAAAACAGAGCAGACTGTGACGTACGTCTAATTACTACTCCATTTCAGGCTAATGGTAAAAATTAGTCCTCAGATAGTTGATAACATCAGCCTGTCTCTGCTGGTTTAGTAACCAAGATCTGTGGCCGAGCAAATACTTCTAATAAAATTGATTTTCTTTTTTGGCAACCAATTGGCCAGTCAATAATAATGTTGTTTATGAAAGACTGAGTCATAAGGGAGATGAACCTTTCCTTCCATTTATTATGTTTGTATTGTCTATATTTTAAAAGAGTTTTCAGTAATGAAATCAAAGAAGAAATTACAAGAGGAAAGCTTTGCTGAGAACTAATCTCCGAAAGCCCTCTGACTTGGAAGCGTGTTAGCGGCCCAAACTGACAAAGCCAGAAGCATTCCCTAACTGAGGCTGGATCGCATGTATGAGAACTGTCAACGACAAAGGAGGATCCAGGCGATGGTCCATACGGAGTGGTCAGGTGAATACAAAGGGAACAACGAAAACACTGGCCTGGCATATCGTCCTAACGGTCCATCCTAAAAATCTACATGGGACTTTTACTTTGCATTAAAGTTGATGTTCAGTAAAGAATGTTCTATAAAGTCACACAGGGCAATTTTTGGATTGTTTGGCTTATATTACTTGCCCTACCTCCACCCCTACATGAAACCCACAGGCAAAAACCTCAGGCTGTGCCTCACCTGGGGACATTTCCTTCCAAAATATTCCCTAACAATCCAAACCAAACGAAGGACATGAGTGCATCAACAGTTCTTTTTTTGTTTGTTTGTTTTTTAACTTAGTGGTGGTGGTGGCGCTTGGGGGAAGCAAGGGTTCGAAAGGTGATTTCAAAGTTCGCACAGAAAAATAAACAAGCAAAAATAACAGGAAAAATTCTGTAAGTAGGGTAGGAATCTATCCTAAAAGATATTAAAACATATTTTGAAGCTATAAAACATATTTTAAGCCACTTAAAAAAGCACAGCACAAATAAATGAATGGAAAAACACAACAATGGCATAGAAGAGCAGCCCAGAAATACTCTGAAGGGATATAATAGTGACTGCTTAACTGGGACAAGCTTTCTTTCAGGGGTGATGAACAAGACAGTGGTGATGACTGTGTAACACTGTTCAATGTGTTAATGCCACTGAACTGTACCCTTTACAATGGTTAATACGGTGGATGTAACCGCAAGGTTTTAAAAATGCTCCCTCGTTATCACTCTTACCTGACAGTTAATATCAGCTCTATACTGCAACAAGACCGTGACTAGTTCCTTATGTCCTCGATCACATGCCCAATGGAGTAGAGCTCTGCCCTAAAAACACAGAAAAAGATAAATTAATTTGTTAATCCAGTTGTGGGGCCATATAAAAGACATTACGTTTTAAGAAAGACAAAGTAATATGTAAAATTGTGGTTAATTAGCCTAAGAATGATGTAAAATGCTCTATGGGAAAAGCATGAGACTTTTTGAAATCAGAAATCCTGAGTCCTACCTCTGGGATCTGCTGTGTTCCAGCCCAAAGACTTATTTTGGCCTGATCAGTTTCCTCACGTAGGGAGTGGAAATAAAGATAACACTAACGGCAATAATACCAATATTTGTTGAATGAATGAGTTGTAAGATAATGCTTTGTACATTTTAAAGTACTTCTTTATAAATGTGATAGACAGTTTTCTTAAATTATTATGTTTACTTCTTCTGGATAAATGAGTACTTAAACCTAGGTAGAAATCATAATCTCAAAATGTAGTATATCTAAATTTACTCGAGTTTATTACTTGAAATGTAAGAAAATTTAGTCAGTTTGAAACTAAACATTTCCCTTTAATATCCCAAATTTACATTCTGAAATATCTTAAAAACACCAATGCAGTCTACTTGGCGTCTACCTTCAAATGCTGACTGCAAAAGAGAACGAACAGATGATTGAGTGTAAGGAGACAAGGTACTAAGTATACAACATTAATTTAACCACTGTCTACCAAAAACTCATAGTTACTATCAATTCAACGTGTTAATTCCATTCTCCACCATCGGAAAATCTTTAGTTAATGAAAGAAGCCTACTTGGCCCAACAAATAAACAAAACTCCCAAAGCTAAGAGCTTTTCTGAAGAAATGAGTGATGTTTAGCTTAACACTACTTTTTGAGGGTGGTAGTGATGTTGTCATTTTTAAGGGGTGGAATGTTTTTCCACATTAAGTTGAAATCTAGGCTTTATGTCATTTTAGAAAAGATTTAAGTAGATGTAAGCTGGGACAAAGATGGCTTTAAAGTAAAAAGCACCTTCCAAGAAAGCTTTTCTAAACCCACTTACACTCTTTATCTTTCAGATTCTCCTTAAGCACCTATTAGTTCAACTAATTAAACCAGGATCTATTCTTGAAACAAACAAAAAAACAAAGAGAACATTTTCCTTACAAATTGTTCTTTTCCTTTTCTTTCTTTTGCTCAATTTATTTTTATTTACCTATAAATATGTTTTCCAATAGGCTTACACAGAATCCAAAGAGAAAGGAAGCAGAGAATTAAAAATGTGGGCAAATCATTCATAGTTTGTTGTAGTAGCAGAACTATTTTGCTCAGAGCCCACTAAAAAAATTTTAAAAATAGAGACAATTCTAAAAGCCGAGTAAAAATGCACTGTTGCATAGAGAACAGTTTCCTATGCTAAAATTTCTATAACTCTAATGTGTACTGACCTGATGTTACCAGGGCACTAATTTCAAAACTCTCCTATGAATAATTAATATTCTAATAAGATTCTCAGAACAAATATCAATGTATAAAATATTTTATAGTTCAATGTAACTGTTTCACAGAATTTACATTAAAAGAAGCAGATAAAATTTCAAAGTCTCTATCATTTTTAGTTCTAACTTTAAGAGTATCTTTTATGGCTACTAAGTTAAACTGTTAACAAGAATTACTACAGAGTTAAAATGATGTCTGACATACTTTCACAGGGCACCTATCAGAACTAACTAATAGTTAAGTAAAAAAAATATTAATATATCTAGTACTTTTACCACAAGATGTACAGATAATTTTTACTTCTCCACCAGGTTCCTGATTTCTCCTTGTTTAAGCCACTAGGGTTACATCGATTAATACTAATATATAAATCCTTAGCTGTTTCTATGGGAAAGCAGACAAGCAACACATTTTACTGTTAATGGGTGTTATATTTTAAATTTCTCATCTGTGGTGCCAAAAATATACTTTAGGGGAAACACCTCTGACTGGACCTCAGCAGTGATTTTCACTTTGGATGTATTTTCCAGAAGGGTGGTGCCCACACAGCGATGTTTTAAGGAGGATGATGTGCCCTCAGACATCTCCACTATGCTTTTTAACTCGTTGCTTGACCTGTAATGTAATTAATTTTTGTAACACATTATTTTAATGGTACGCTAATTAACCTTGAATTAGAATGATTTCTCTGACAATGACTTTCTGTAGAAGTGCTGAAGATATCTACAGTAAGACCACCTAATGACTAATATTTTACTTAATACTGCATAGCATTAAGAAGCTCAAAAACAAGAACAGGATTTAAACACACTTGTAAATAAGCATAGGTAAAATAAGTCAGGCCTTGGAATTTTCGCCTTTCAAATGTTTTGTATTTAAATGAACAAAGACCAGTACATCCAGGTGTCTGAATGCAATGCAATGATACTTCTTCAAATTATAAATTATAACGTTCCCACAAACATGCTCTAATTAAAAATTATTAGTTCAAGTAATGACAGACAGTAATTTGCAGAGATGCTATCCTCATAACCATTTATGACAAAATCAGGAAATAAACACCTGTGGTTTCTTTCCTTTCTCTTTGTTAACCATAAACGTACCTGTTTGTGGAAAGGAAAACCATGATTAGGGAGGTGCACATTAAAGCTCTATCTGCTTAAAGACTTTATCCCAATTTGTGAACTATTTCACCTGTTTTCATATGTAACTGTTTTATCTTCTATGAATGACATAGTCTCTTACAAATTTTCAAGTGAAATTTATTTTTGCTGCTATCACTAAAACTAACGATCCTTTGCATCTAGTTTTAACTTTTTATTCTTCTGAAAAAATATCCCAGAAATACTTAGGAAATACGGGGAGAAAGCCAGTATAAAAAGGAATCTTTGTTACGCTATCAGAAGCCCACGAGCACTGTTTAGATAGCTCTGGATAAATTCTGGAATTCAAATACAGTAAAACGCAGCGGAGAAAAGCGTTCTCATCTATTAACCAAGCAAGGGTGCTAATACTGTCCTACCTCAGACAGATGAATGAGTCTAAAGTGCTTTAAAAGTGCAGGGTGGGAGCTCGCCTATTAAGTAGTATTACTTTCATACTGTCTGGAAAATACAGAGTGGGTTTAATATTTTAAATGCTTCTTTGATATCCTTAGTTACTTGTCCTTAAAACGTAGATTTTTTTTTTTTAAACGTAGATTTTCTCTGGGATATCACAAATTAAATAAAAAGAATTTCTATTATAAAACAAGTCTCGATGTTCTCTTGGTATTTTGACAACAGATGCAAAGCACGTACATTATACATACAGTAGACAAAAACATGGCAAAGTTGATATGTTTAAATTTGTAAGAGTTGTCACCTTGCCATTCTAGACAAGATGGCACGGTACAGTACTGTCTAATTATCAAATGGAATACTGCGAACAGGTCGACTTGAATTTCTCTCTGCAAAAAACCTGAGTTTCAATTTACAGTTGTAGTAGAGACTGACTTTAGCTACCATAACCTGTCATAACCCTCTGTCCTCTATCCGATCCCTATCTTCTGCTCTCTGCTGCTGCTACTGCTACAGTAGCTGCCTACAGTGAGGACTCCCCCATGTACGACCACCGGAAACTACAATGCCTCCTCCTTCCTCCTCCTTAATAGTGAACCGACAATGCTGTTTCAAAGACTTAAGGACAGGAGTAGGACTGGGAGGTAGTACATGATCTCGAGATGTACCTAGCATGGAAGCCAGTAGCTTCCTATGGGAAAATTTATTTACTAGTATTGAAAAGAAAACCACAGACAAACATGCGTGATACACATGTAAAATCAGCAACTATTTGATCTCTTTCACTGGTTAAGATCTAAAGAAGAGAGAAATGGTGTTGCTGAGTTATTAGGGAATTAAAAAAAAACAAAAAACCCTTCACAAGCATATACTAAGCCATAATGGTAGTGACTTAAGGTTGAAGGAATAAGGTAGGGAGATATGGTTTCGTCCTGTATAAAATAAGTAATAATAGCAATAATAAGTTTCCATAAAAACAGTTCTGGTCTCCATCATAAGACAATAAATAAATTACAACATATTCCATCATATGAAATATAATGGAAGTATTGATATATATAACAACATGGATGAATGTCAAAAACATTATGCTAAATGAAAGAAGCCTTACACACAAAAGTACATATTATGATTCCATTTATATAAAGTTCTAGAATAGACAAAATCAATCTGTAGTAGAAGAATGATCAGAACAGTGGTTACTTTTATAGAATTAGGAGAAAGAATCACTTGGGAAGGAGCATGAGGGTACTTTCTGGGGGTGAAAGTAAGGTTTATATGTTGATAGGCATTTTGGTTACACAAGTATATGCCTTTGTCAAATTTAATCGAATGTGCACTTAAGATTTGTGCATTTCATTGTATATAATGTTATCTTCAAAGAAAAACCAAATAATACTGAATTAGTTAATGATATGCACAATGAAGCACTGAGAAGCATCGAGAAGTATTTTTGTCTGCAAAATACTCTGATCATCAAAAATGCATCAAAAAATAAGAGACTGATGGATGACTAGAGAGGTAGATAGATATTGAGAAAGCAAGCATAATAAAATATCAGTGGTAGAATCTAGGTGGTAGGGATATAGATATTCATTGTAAAATTCTTCAACTTTTCTGTATGCTTAAAAATTTTCATAATAAAGTGTTAGAAAGAAAACCCCAAATTTGTACACCCATGTTACAAGCATTATTTGCAATAGTCAAAATATGAAAACAACCCAAGTGTCCACGATGGATATTTGGATAAACAAAATGCAGTATATATACACAATGAAATATTATTCAGTTTTAAAAAGGAAATTCTGACACATGCTCTAACATGGATGAACTTTGAAGACATTATACTAAGTGAAGGAGCCAGTCACAAAAGGACAAATATTGTATGATTCTGTTTAAATGAGGTAGTTAGAGTAGTCACATTCATGGAGATAGAATGGTGGCTGCCAAGAGCTGGGGAAGAAAGGGAATGAGAGTTAGTGTTCAATGAGTGCAGAATTTCATTTGGGGAAGATGGAAAAGTTCTGGAAATTAACGGTGGTGATGGTTGTAGAACAAAGTGAATGAATTAAGTGCTATAAAACTATACACTTAAAAATGGTTAAAATGGTAAATTTTATGTGATATATATATTTTACCACAATAAAAACTAAGTTGCCAAAGCTTATAAGATTTTAATTACTTTCACCATTTTTTGATTCTGTATTAAATATGAGTTTCTGATGTAAAGTATTACCATAGGCTTGATTTTTTAAATGGTATTCACCACATTAATGTAGATGAGCATAATTTGACATTCTCAGTTTGAATGAAAAAAGTTCAATTTAACATTTTCATCAACTATACAACCAAAATAACATATACGCAAATGTAAAAAGTTATTTGAGAATATATTTTTTACTTCCTTCCTCAAATCTTAAACAGAAGTATAATTTTAGCCTTAGTATATTGTCTGTGCCTCTTAAACATTTTGCTTGTTAGCAAAAACTAACGGTTTTGCCAGATTTTGCAGCAGTTTCAAAAGACAAAATTATGTAAATTATATTCTGACATGAGCCCTAGATTTAAAACCAAGCAAGAAGAGAAAGAAGTTAAGAGAAAGGTGACCTCCTTCGAAATAACTGAAAGCATCAACAAACATATGGAAAATGGTATAACAATTATACCTTCAAAAAGATAGAAAGGAAAGACTTTAAAGACGTAGCTCAAATGAAAGAGGAATTTGGGAGTGCATTAGATAGGACTCTATGGGAAACCAAAGAACTGTAGGAATACTTTTAAGTGACTGATGATAGACAACTTGCATTGGACTAATGTCATCTCTTTTGTTCAAATATTATTATATTGCTACATTTGTCCTAAAACAAATTTAACTTAATGTAAAGATCTAAAATAATCTTTAATCATCAATAAGCATGTAGTGTCTACTGTATATGGAACTGACTTGAGAAATAACGTGTTTGACAAGAATTATGCAGAATTAATTTGTGTTTGACTACTGATAAGAAATGTTCTGCTCATATCTTAAATATACTTTACAAATTATTTAAATAATTCTTTAATTTTAAAAGATATAGTTTTTGAAAAAACCATAAATATTTGGCATATGTGGGGAGCTATATTAATATGGCTCGATAAAAACTGAACCACCATTTAAAAAAATTAATGGGCTTTTAGATTTTCTCCTTTATATTTCTCTTCATATTCTCTACCTCGCTTTCTAAACAGTTCTGCAAATGTTTAAAAAATGTAATAAAAGTTATAATTTAAATAAAAATATGAGCACATATAATATCATGATGCTATAAACTTGGACCTTAAAACATCTGATATATAGATAGCTTCCTGAATAGTAAGCATAACAAAAATTTTTTTCTATTATGTGACATATAGACAGTGTCCTAATTACTATATTAGAAGGAAACATTGTGTAATTTTCTCAGATTAGAAATATATGCCCTACTCTATCAGTAGTAATAACAACTTGAATAAAAATATATCAGAACTATACTTATATATAATAAAATGTCATTATGAAATATCAGTATTTTATTTAAAAGGCATCTTACACATATGGTCATGTGCTATGATAGTTATAGATTCAAATACATGCATGTCAGGAAATAATTGTGTTCTATTTCAGATATGTGGGAATGCAAATAAATGTAGCTTATCTTTTTGTGACTTTAAATTTCTTCACGTGGTCATAGTAAATTTTAAGTGCAATCAATTTAATTTTTAGTCATCGAAATGCATCTAAAATTCAGTTGAACTTGCTGGATAAACATTTTAAATCAGGTCTTACACCATCCCAAAGAATCCTAGGCAATAGTGAAATATCTCAAGTTCTCATATTGCAGAAATAAACACAAAGAACCAATGTCCTTTCAAGACTGACTGTTACCCAACTTATAGTAGGGAAATGTTTCTTTTTTTCTGATAAAGAGGTTAAAAGTATTTAGCTACCAACTTAACTTTGAGTTTATATACTTTTAGTTCACCATCAAAGCTTACCAAGTTGTTTTATTTGTGAGAGCTTTAAATATCATGAAGCAGTACCATTTATTTTATTTAAGATGTTAAGTTTAATTCTAATTTTAAGCTCTCATCTCCCTCATGTTCTTAAATTAATTCATACAAATCCCCGATTAATAATAAAAGGGCCTGCCATCAGTATTCAAAGCCCAGCCTGAGTTGTCATGGCTGAGAGGGCAGAAATCTGCTTGGAGCAATGAGAGAACCCAACTGAATTCTTGGCGTCTCAGTCTATGAATGTGTAAGCACTTCATCTGTTCATGGAAACTCAATGTTCTGGCAGGCTGGGGGTGAAGGAAGCTGAGTGGTCAACAAACTGGAAGACCCGGGAAGCGAACTACATCAAAGTAACCAAATGACAGAAGTAATACATTTTACAAGTGTTCCTTTCATTTTCACAAAAAAATTGTGTTATTTCAGTGCAAGCTATCTGTATTCTAGACATTTATTTTATCCCTATCACTGCTGTTCAATCATCTCTGCAAAGGTCATATGTGGATCTGGCTTTTAGTACTATTTTTATACATTTGTCCAAACTCACAGACCACTGAGAGTGAACCCGAAGGTAAACTATGGACTTTGGGTCACTATGCTGTCTCAATGTAGGTTTATCCTTGGTAAAAAATGGGCCACTCTGGTAAGTGATGCTCATAACGAAGGAAGCCATTCATGTGTGGGGGTGGGGGTAAATGGGCCATCTCCGTAACTTCCTCTTAATCTGACTGTAATCCTAAAAATGCTCTCAAAAAATTAAGTTAAAAAAAAGAAGTGCCTTCTTTATTCATTTCATTATATTATCATTCTTCATATTATTAAGAATAATCAAGATAGCTAAAATCTATTGAGTGCTTACTATCTGTGTGTTGGCACTGTAAAAGTGCCCATTATACTATACTGCTCCTACTTATTCATTCATTCCATCATTCATTAATTCATCTTTTTTTTCAAGCATTTGGAATATGCTAACAACTCTGACAGAAACATTTTCAAAACATTTACTTTTCTCAAGCAGCTACTGGAGGAAATGCTCCATCAAAACCAGGAAATAAAAGAGAGCTACTGGAAGAGATACTCCATCGAAACAGAAATAAATAATAAAAGATGAAGACCTGGGGTTCAAAAAAACAGAAGAATCCAAGAAAGAGGGGAAGAGAATTCCCAGGCAGTGGTGAAGCGTAATCCCAGGATGACATCCACACAACAGGCCTAGAGAGCAACCAGTCCAGATAAGGACGAAGAAGGAAAGAGGGTTCCAGGAGGGACAGCACTGAAAAACACATGGGATTGATTACTTGATATGTTTGACTGCACTGAGAAGACCTCTGTGGGGCAATTTGAGGAAAGAATGAATGATAGAAACATAGACGCTGATCCACACGGTACAGTCCACAGCTCAGCAGTGAGCGATATTTACAGTCATAATAATATACTCGATTACAATCATGCAATTATTTCATTATTAATTATAATTAATTATGCAATGATAATAATAATAAACATTGATTCAATAGAGAGTCAGTCAGAAAGCTGAAACTAAGAGCTGTTGATATCACTTGCTATGGGGATGGGGAGAGAGGGTTGGGGGTAGAGGAGTAAAATAGCTAAATCCTAATGTAACACAGAAAAAATCAATAATGTCTAAAATTGGAAAATCAAGAGATACAAGTATATTATTAAGGATTATGTAGGTAAACTGCAAAAGAAACAACCAAAAGAATTGAAAAGTTTTCCCTTAAGGGAGCTAGAATCAAATGTGAGAAAGATGCAGGTAAGGGAATAGTTTTTTGTTATAAGATTTTCTTAGAACTCTCTACATGTATTCATTTCATAAAAAATCTTAAATCACAAGCACAAAAATCCACAATAAAATCAAGGGAAACAATCTTGCCTGATTTACTTAAAAAAAAAATCTTTTTTTGAGTGGAAAAGGCAAAAAAAGACCCCTAGTTGGAATCGTAAGACCTGGTTTTATTATTTCACAATCGGGCTTCTGCTTTTCTCTAGCTACATCTTTCTTGGCTCTGTTTGTTTCATTATTTAGGGGAGAACAAACTATTCCTGGTCCCCCTTTACTGTGAAATGACAGGCTTACATTTTCAGCTCCAGACACCACTGACAATACGTAACAGGAAAGCTGTTGCTTAGAGGTGAGGTAATCCTAAGGGCTGACCTGTCTAGAGAGCTCTCAGATAACACATAAGTTGATTATTTATCCGCTCTACGCATTATCTATGACCACTGCATGTCTTCTTCCTAACAACTTTTGGTCCTTTCAATCAGTATTCATCGCATTATCAAAGAATGAGAAAAATGATTAAAAATGAATTAGTAAATTTTGCTTCTTTCTTAACAACTGTAATTCAAGGACAATTTATGCTCAATATGTGAACAGTTTTACTCTCAAAACAAATAAATTTAAGAAGTAATATCTTTTACAAAATAATTTAGTATAGGGTCCCTTTAAATAGTGGACCCTCGTTTAAATAACTGGATTTACCAAAATTTTGGCAGTTTTCTAGAAATATATTTACTGAGCAAAGGACAATATATCTGTTTAAGATATGATAGAAGACACTAAAGCTATGTATAAATATTTTTACATTACCTATAGATTTCACTCATTATGTTAAGTCTTTCCCTTTATCATGATGAGCAAATAGAAGTTATTTGAGTGCTACAAGTTCCACCTAGTAACTTCTAGAACATGGACAGAAATATGATGGATACAGATACAAAAGTATCTTATCTTAACTAGGTGTTACCATCTCTTTAGATTTTCTGATATATCTTAACCACATGGTACTTTGAGTTGTAGTTCATAGACCTGCCATGTATAAAAAAGCATTAGGACAGAAGAAGAAAGTATAAGAAAATAATTAACAGCATGTTTTCCATACCTCTTCATCTCTTATATTCACGTCCACATTTTTCGATTTGATGACTTTGGTTATATGGTCAATGTTGTTTTCCCTGCAGTAATCAAATATATTTTTGTCTTCTTCCCTAATTAGAGTAAAAACAAAAAGTATTTGTGTTACTAGGTAGTATATAAAAGTTGCATATTTTTAATACAATCTGTTTGCTGCTGACAAACATTAGTGGAATCGCTGTTTTTACAAAGAATTTTACATGACCAATAATGAGTTTCCAATAAGACATAAAACACCCAACTCTGAAAAGACTAAAGTTCTTAGCAACTATAATTATAGAAAAAAGCTTCATGGCTTTAACAAGTTCCACTAGCAAACTAATATGACATCTTCAGGAGGTTTTCTCAGTGTTCTTTCTCTCCCCAGTTACTTTTACACACTGACAGGGCACATATTTCCTCTGACTCAGAATTTTCAATTGTAGCGCTGTAGTGAAAAGGTCATTTACTGTTGTCTGTACAGAGGTATCAAAAGATCAGAATACAGCGTACTACTTGTCTTACAAGACAAGAGAATGAGTGGATTGCTACCCAAGTTTCACACATGCGCACACACACGCCACAGTAATTTTCTTAAGGAAAAGATAATGAGAGCATCACAAAATTCAGAAATCCTTCATGAGATAAGAGAAAGGCTGAGAACAAAAACTGGAAAGCATACTACGTACTCGGCACTATTCTTTCAATGTACTATTTAATTTACTCTTATTCAACAACTTCACTTCACAAAGAAACAAGAGAGATTTTATAATCTGCCAAATGGCACTGCATTCACTAAACGTAGGACAAGAGGTAGAAGTCACTCAGATTAACTGATTCTGTACATAGTACATTTTTCTATTATACAAGCTACATCTTGACTAGCCAGCTATAGTCTATTCCAGAAGCTAAAGCAATTCTTAACACAATGAGTTCAAAATAGGATACAGAATCACCTTTGTAATGGCATGTGCATTTTTCTGAGTATATTGTGTGTGCGTGGGGTAGCTTCAGTGAGATTCTCAAAAGGGTAAGTAATTTGGAATGTTAACAATGAAACTGCTTTTACGTGGACTGCATCTTCTGGACAGGCATAAAAGAATGCAATTTGAGTTCTAAAAATGATAACTAGTATGTTTTATAACCTCTGAGGCCATAGCTTCCATTCAACAGAAAAGCACCTGGCCATAGGAATCTTTCTATCTTCAAAGTCAATTTAAATACCTTATACTCTATGAAAAATTATTTCCAGTCAGAGGTAATTAACTTAAAACACACTACTTTGGCCTTAACCATCTAAACTTTCCTTATGCATTTGATGAATTTAATTGAGCACTTACTACATGCAAGGCCAAAATTTTGTTGGTAACAGATAACAAGGATAAGCAAGAAGCTTCGCTTCCAATGCATGTACAGTATAGTTGGAATGATAAAATGTATAAAACATTAATGTAAGGTAAAAATCAGATCTTTAAAAAGAACTAAAAGAGTACAGAGAGACAGCTTGCTTCAAGCTGGAAGAAATGAGGTAGGTGTCCAGGAAGAAATCACGTTGGAAAGGAATGTATGGTCTCTTGAAAAGGTCCATTTTACAGAAGAGGAAATGCTTCTTCCAGATTATTTACTCTGAAAGAAAATAGAGCAGTCCGAAGCCAAAAACCTAGAAAGGAGAAGTCTGATTTTTAAAATTAAGGCTGAATATAGTAGCACTTTAGCTATTTTAAACTATCACAAAAAAATACTTTTTATGAAAAGGTTTTCAGTTTGGGAACAATAGAGATCTATGTTCCTACAATCGAGGAAAAAAGACCCTGTAAGAGGCAGCAACTTCAACTGTGCGAGAAAGAACTGTTTCATTTGAAGTCGTTAAAAAAATACACTACTCACCAATTGTTTTGAATTTGAAAATAATGGGGAGTTGGTGGTGAGGCACAGAAAGAAAAGTAAGGAGGATCCTTGGGATGTAGGTAACTCATACCCAGCAACAAATACGGGTTATTCGTAAATGAGAGGACCTTCTGAATGGTCCCTCTTCCTGAATCCCAAATGTGCATGTATACCTATGCCACAGCAGTAAAGGAGAAAATATAGTACCAACATATTTAAATTTTTATTTTGCTTAATATATGTTCAATATATTTCTAATGTGCACCATTTACATCAATTATTTTGATTTGGTGTATAAATTTTTCGGAGGGCAGGGGGAAATTTTTCATCTGAATACCTGCTTCTGTAATTCATCATTGGTAAATATGTCAGGCAAATAGAGGGATTTATACAATACCTCAGGGTAGAGTATACAAGTAACAAAAAGAATTTCAATAAAATTACCACAAATGTGCCACAAAGTTGAGTGACTAACATAAAAAAAAAAACAACAATTAGGTAATAATACTCTTGGACTTAGTTGTTAAATATAGTTATCTACTCACACTCCAAGTTTTACTATCTTACTTGCCATCAACTAAGCTGTCTTAATACAATGTCACCACCTAGTGGCTAAAATGGAGAGACATGCAGAACAGCATTTTCAACTCCTTTCTTGCCTCCTAACAAGATTATGTACAACATATGAATCAGATTCTTTTTCCCACTTCATTTCTGTAAATAATCTTTCATAGGCAATCTTTCTCTCTTCAATCCTCACTTAAATGAAACAACATATGCAAATGAGTTCAACCATTACCCAAATAGCAGAGCCTTAATAAATGTTAGTCCATGTACATTTTCCCTTTTATCTTCCTTTCTCTAATGATTCTTACCCAGTTATCTTCCTCTCTCTCTTTGCTGAGTGTGAGTGATATAATTATCAAATCATTCTCTGTGGATGAATATGAGTTACATTTGTGATGCCACCCTCAGGGATGTCCCACCTTATCCCTAGCACAAGACAGAATGTCTCTTTGGATTACTCCAAATTTTCTGAAATTGACAGGAAATACATTTAAACATCTGAAGGAAAAAAATCACCAGCTTTAATTTTTTTTTCTTTTTAAGATATGAGGGTATGCCATTATGCAAAAAAGGGGTGGTGTTTAAGTATGGTTGTCTTTCACCAATCATAGGAAGATAGACCTGTGCCCACTTCTAAAACTGCTATCTGTACCACTTTCTACAAGGATTGCATTTTCTCAAAAGGCTATTTCAAATAGTTAGGTTTCATGGGAGGCCACCTATAGTTTATTTGCTACCACCTCATCTACCTCCCAGAATTAAAACAACATTTATGAGACTAGCTCAAATATCTAACTATTTAATAGTATAGTCAATAAATATTTCAATTCGATTCATATATTTGTCAAGCAACTAGCAATCAGATATAAAAATAGTATTCCAATACGTAGACAATGAAAAATTATTTGACTTAACGAAAACACAAAGAAGAGTAAAAGCCAATACCGACACAAATAAAAACAAATGCCACTAATTCCTCAACCAAGGGATGTAAATCTGTGGAGTCTGGGGGCACACAGAGACCTTTAAAGGGATATGTAGGTCTGGAAAATTTTAAGTGACTCAATTTTGTGCTTGACTTCTAAATAAATGTATTCTTTCCTAAACTGATTGACCTGAAAAGGCTCCTGTGGTAAATATTTCATCACCATTTTCCCTTCAACATTCCACCTCTGCTCAATCACTCGCCCCTCTCCCCACCCCAGTTTATAAAGGAAAGGCACACACTTCTTCTTACTATGGTATACTTATAGGAAGTATAACCAAAAAATTTTACAAAGATGTAGCAAATAACTGTTAATTAAAGGTGTTACTCTTTTGCATAAAAATACTGTTTAATATACTAGGAAAAGTCTGGAGGAGAAAAATCAACCCTAGGTTGTTTTGAGATATAAAATCTTCCACCAAATAAAGGGATAATTTCCATGAAAAAATGGTGCTGGGAATTGGGAAGCCTCCTACAACTAAGGTTAGAAAAAAGAAGAGGTGAAAGAAACGAAACAAAAAAACAGACTTGCTGCTGAACTCTGACTCATCCTAATAAAAAATAATATTCGTCTATTAAATAAACTATTTTAAAAAGCCTCATCTATCTCACTGACACATTTTCAATAAAATTTTACTTACGCTTAATAATTATTTAACAAAATTTACAACGTCTATTGACCAACTGTACAGAAATAATTATAATTATAAATGAGAAAAATTTAAGGCTTAAAGCTTTGGATCACAGAAAATTAAAAATTTTAAAAGTCTGATTTATATATGTTTTTGTTACAGAGAATTATGATAGTGATAAGACTACATAAAAATATATTCTTTAAAATAAGATTGTGTGGCAGAACTAGAATAAAAGGGAAAAAAAAGATAAAATTTCTCACTGCTAAACTCGTTCATGTATTTTTAAGCCAAGATCAGAATTTTATTTATTTTAATTAAACTTTTGATTTCAAGACAATTGAAGATTCACATGCAGTTATAAGAAATAATACAGAGACCCTGTGTACCATTTTCCAAGTTTCTCTAAAAGGTAGCATGTATTTTAAAAAATAGATTATCATTTATAGCAATTAGATTCTATTAGATACATCTAAATGAATACTGTTTATTTTAAATTTTTATTATTTACAAAATGTCAGAAATTATGCCCTTTGCAATTATTTATACTTTCAAATAAAATTTTAGACGTTATCTTAAACATATAAAAGGGAACAGTCTTTCAAAATTCTCTTAGGGACTACATCGGCAAAAAGTTTGAGTATCACTGTTCTAACCCGCTATTCCAGAAGTAGGGGTCCGGAGCAAAGAGTAGGCTAACAACCAAGGATGATCAAAGAAAGCATTACAGAAGAGTTGAAATTACAGCCTAGCTTTGAAGGACGAGCTGATGACACAGCTGTGTTACTGAAGGATTCTGAAGAAAAGAAAGGAAAGAAAAGTTATCATCAAAAGGAAGTATTCAGGGGAACCGCAAGCCTTTGGTTATGGCAGGGTGTCAGGAGATAAGGTTGGAGGGATAGGCTGGACAAGCTCATGAAGAACCTTGTCATGCTGCATATGATGTTAAGGAACACATGTAAGGAACGAGTTAGCTGGGGAACAAAAAGCTATCTAACTTCTAAAACCTGGAATAAAGGGTACA